CACTAACTTAGAAGTGTCCCTCCACGACCTGACGGGATACGAAGTCATCGAAACTGACTGACTGACCGACCGATGGACTGAGTGAACAGCTGCTCGAATTTAGCATGGTTGTTGATTCACCGAAACTTTTACTGAAGATTGATGCGATTGGGCGCATTTCCTTGAAAGCGGATGGTGCATCGTTGCTCATTTCACATTGGTTCATAACCTCGGTACAGGCTTCGCTCATGTTTTTAAACTCTGAAAGTCACTCAAACCAAAGATCTTATATTCATTCTCAGAATTTTTTTTGTGAACCGTTTCTAATTCGTCAGATACTCTAAATTCCACCAAACTTATCCCTGCAATGTCGTTCATTCTTTACTTGTGTCGTTTCCTTTGCTATGATATGCCGCACGTGTTTTCGTCATTTGACTGGCAGTACCATTTGTCTGACTTAGTTGATCAAACACAAACAGAGGTGTTCACCGTTCTATTAGTAAATGAATTTTTTAAATTTATTATATTTAGACGAACTACCATGAAGACGTGTCAGAATCTGATGTCTGGCATTTTAAGCCGCATGTTGGTCCGATAAATGGTCTAGCAATATCGAATGAGGACGGGGACCATATGTATACTTGTTCTTTTGACGGCAGTACCAGGATGATGGATATTAACAAAGGCTATTTTGAAGAAGTACGTTGCATAAAAAACAACAAAAATATAGTAATTTTTTTAACGTTGTATTCTGTTGTACGTATTATATTGGGGGACTACCGCTTTTTGTTGGTTTACAGAAAAACTGCATTGCATCAGTGAGTACGCCCTTAGTGTTATCGATATATTATTGTTGATTATAGCTGATTTTGACAACGGGTTTAAAATAAATGAAATAGTTGCAGATAGTGTATTCAGTAAGCTTTAAATATGGTCATTTCAGTCGAATTATTGCGAATTTTTCTTGTCTTCTTACATAAGGCCTGAATTATTTATGTACAAATTTATTCATAAAGCCACAAGGATCTAGAGTCAAACGGCACCTGTGTATACAACACTGGCACTGCAGCCACTTGACCTACTTCGTGGATCTTTCGCGACTGACACAGTCCTGCAACCGTTACAAGAAGGACCCCCTCAATCTGCTGCTCCTTTTTAAAAAGCACCGTTTGCTGTGAGAATGAATGAATGAATGAATGAATTATCCAGTTAGTTTTTTGTGGGTAGCCATCTCCTACGCAGAACCGCTATTTCGAATATCTAACTTCCATAATGTGAGATATGGTGAAATCAAGTTTATTCCGAATTCCTTCGTAGCGTGCAGTATGATTACCTTCGTGACGTTGAACGGAAAGCTTTATCACCATCGTACTGCGAAGCTAAATGCTAGGCAAAACCAGTGACATGATCAAAACTGAAATGTTGCAGTTCAAGAAGGACTTAGCTAGAATATCTTCAGAAGAACTGTAAGGGTGACCACTATCCTGGCTACAAAATTTCCTTTTCTTGCTAACTGCACAGACCAACATTGACTTTGCTTATTGTCTTTTACCTTTTATATTTTGCAAATGACTTTATCCACTGAGAAACATCTCTATGGATTTGTACATAAAAGTTACCTTTGTCAAGAACTGCAATAAAGCTGATTCGTAAAGGTAAACTTTAGTAATGAAGTTGGCTATCTTAAGTTCGGTACTGATTGATTAAGCACTTATTTTTCACTAAAAAGGATATAATTTGAAGATGGTGAAATATGCTGTCGAATATTTGTCAGAGAGAGCCATTTAGACTAATTTTCTGCACGTAAACGAATATCAGTCAGCACGTTCGTGAAGTTCATTCTAATGGAAAGTTGATCATTGCATATTTGAATATATTTTGATATTAAAAAATGCTAGGAGAGCGTAGAGCCGAATGCTGTAAACAAAGGGCACCGAGTATTAAATTTAAAAAATGACGCAGAAAACTAATTAAATGGAAAATGCGTCTTAATTATCATAAATCTACTATATGATTATAAAAATACTAGTGGCACAGAGGGTTTTATAAGACAAAGGACTGTTTCTGATAAAAACGAATGCTTTTTGCCTGAATATTATTTATTAGCAACACGGGGATATGAATTAGTCGTGTTGATTTTGCACTCATCCATTTTCATTCCACTACTCCTTTCCGGTTGCTACGATAGCAACTTCAGGAGGTTTACCCAGTGTTTCCGGTCCACCAAAAATCAAACAAGTTCGTAGGCCGAATACCGAAGCCGGTTGTTCATTACGCTTGACTCACCAGACCCACAGCCTTTCCCTGGATCAGCTGTCATATGACCCTGCGAAGCAAATTGTAATTAATTTTTTAAATATTAATTTTGTGAATTCTCAGACCATCTTCAGGAAACCAGTCTTGAAATTAATGCTTCAAACAATTCTAGCTAGAATTTATCGGAGACCACGTAGGCAGCTAAGTGCTTTGTTGCCAGTTAATTACGCACAAGAATAAATTACAGATTGTTTACGTTCTTATTTACTTTCTAACGAAACGGCTTTATAAAAATTTAAAGAACTAGCAGATTGATCTTATTTCTCGGTGGTAGTTTTAAGGCAAGATCGTTTATTTGGCTGTCATTTCTTTAGGCAATAAAGCGAGACATTAGATTCAGTCGATCTATTTATGCATCGGTGCGGCATTTGACTACCCCTGAACAAAAGCTGTACGGCTAACTGCATGGCATCAGAGCATATCTTTGACTGAATCATGGCCGCATTCACTAAAATAGGACATGTTCTTGTCAAGAAACGTTTCTTTCAGATAGTGACCTGAATTAGAGGCCTACTTCTAGCTGTTTCCGACACTCACATGGAGGAGAACACATGTAATCCTTTCGCTTTCTATCCGATGTTAGGTGATAGACGTATCAACACTTACATCTGCATCTCTTACTTGACACTTAACATGCTTGGTGGTCCTTATTCCAAATCCCTTGACGTTTCTAATAATGGGGCCTTGTCTTGCTGCTATCCGCTGTTCTCTGATATGACAAATTTTTCTACTTTCAGGTGTTTGTGGACGAAGAGGATCTCTGCAAAAGCGTGGAGTTGATAGCGCCGAAGCAGCTGGCCATCGCACTGCATAGCGGAGACGTTCTTTTGGCCGACTGCAGAATCCCGCCCTACATGTAAAGCTCGGAGGTCTTCTAGTGATGTCATGCGATGTCTTTTTTACTGCTTTAGGCATCATAAACTGAAACTCGGCCACCCGCGTCTCAGAACGGTGAGCATTCACCCGCTGCACAGGGATTACTTTTGCACTGCCTCTGCGAACGGGTACGAGCGCAAGAATACTAGTTTATTCTCACTGTGATATACGAATGAAACTATGACTTGTTTTAGTCTTAGTAGTTCCCTATGCTTCTAACATATCAGGGGGCATTGGAAAACAGCCCTCTGAGAATAAGTGGGATCGTGCGTAGGTAACAGCTTCATCCTCTTTTCAGAGAAGGACGATGTCAGCCTTGTCGTCAGCCTTTATCGATCCTATGCTGGATGTAGGTCGCTCCAAGGTACTTTCTCCTGCAGTTCTTACCCGCGTTGCTGCAACACATTTCTTTAGCTAGTCCTGATACGGATGTAAAGGTATTCTACGGGCCGTTTAATGTCTCTATGAACTCAGTCTAATATCACTTTCGTACAGCGATAGTCAGTTCTTTTTGCAACATACTCTCTATTCATGTTAACTTCTTTGCACTTCCGATGACATCGCAGACTCATTTTGCAACGATATGAAAATACATTCATAGAGGTACTCTATCCATCAGAATCAATCTATCCGTAAAATCAGTCCTTTTCTTGGCGGATTTCCTTCGAAGCATAAAGTTTTCGAGATTAGCAGGCCTCATCCCTCTTTGCCATTGTTCTGTTAGCTGTCCGTGTCAGGGTTTATGTCCGTACTAGCTAATTGGCGCAAATTTTCTATCTCACCAGGTATCTTGTCGAGCTACTCTTCCATGTAACAATCTGTCGGTGCAATACCAGTTCAAAAAATATGTTCATAAAACAAGTGCCTAGGCGTTGCATCCCCAGGTTAATTAGGTAAATACGAAATCACTTGTTTAGACAAGTCAGAGATTTGGAAACGTTAGAGCGTCAGGAAACCTCAGTAATTACTGTAAGAGTAACAACAGATTGCCTCGCTCTCTCAGTTTTGCTGCACTTCGAAGAGGTCACTAGAGTTCTGAAGACAAACTCCTTTACTGCCATCCCAGGCAGTCTACACTTCAATACACACATGCAAGAGACTGATACCAAATTACACCGCTACAGGTAAACAAAGTGGTTCTATGCGAACTTCCACCAGTTGTGATCTTGCACTTGTATCAGGTCATCTTCATTCTACAGTTATCACAAATTTTATGTTAAATCAAGTTTTAAGCCTAGGAAGCTCTGTTTTGACTTATCCTCATTACCCCTAGCATCACGTTCCCATAATATCTACATGGGGTTAATGACGTAATATGTACGCAATGGAAAACGAAGCATACAAATCATGATCCTACAGAAAGCTCTGACGTTGCAGAGCGAGTACCAGGAAAGATGGTTATGTAACTGCTAAAATGTTATTGGCAATAACTGTTAAAGTCATTGGCAGTTTAAACAGTCAAGTTTTTGACCGATTCCCTTCAAAGCTTCGCTATAACCATAACCCGTAAGGTGATACTGCGACACTCCGTTGTACTTCCTCATGAAATGTGATGCCTATCTCTGGGCAGGCAGTACCGGCTCTGTGGGAATCAATCACCGACGTTATATTTACTGTGAAAATTTAACAGCTAATTGACTACTTCTTAATTTCAACTTTTTACTCATGTATATGAGTTATGTTGTAGCATCGTGGCCGTGTGGGATTTTCGTGGTAAAAAAGCGCACCCCGTAATGGAAATGAAGCATGACAAAGCGGTAAACTCGGCGTACTTCTCGTCACAGACCGGAAACAGAATATTGACCGCTTCAATGGACAATCGTATTACGGTTTGGAACGCAGAAAAACTGAAGACCGGAGAGGCGAAAAAAATTAGAAGCATCAGT